CCCAAACGAGCCTAAACGGGCCGGGCCCACTTCGAACTACAGGCGGACTTCGAGCCTCCCACGGGCTGCGGGCTATTTTTACACTTTTATATAATACACACTCTTTGAGAAATGTGTACTATAATCTTTCCCAATTTATATTTTAAATAGCCTCCAAGATTTCCGGTACCCTTTTTTTTTAGAACTAAGAATTCCGGTAACTTAAGAGGCATAAAAGTCATCATCACATTTGATCTATATTTGGGCTTATTTTTATTTTTTTATGAAAAATATTTACATCATTAAATACTAACCTACAACAAAGCTTAACACAACTAATATAGTCCAAACCCAAAAACCTAACAATCACTACTTACTAAGTACAATAATGGGAGAGAAATAAATCACACCACAAAGAGGATCAAACTATTCTCTATAAAAATTGAACCCAAAATATCACATCCCATGTAACATAACCACTAAGTCAAATGTCCTGATTTGAGGTTTGTCACATGAACATGGGACTTCTGGATGTTTTAGCAATTATAAAATTGATATGAGGTATTTTGGGGACGTTTGGTGCGGCTGTGAAAACAGATTATAACTTATAACTTAACAGATTATAGATTATAGTTTTAATCAGAAGCTGTTAACCTGTTTGGTATAACTGTTAGATTATAGATTTAAGTTGCTGAGTAGTGTTTGTCTAATAAGCTATAAAATAACTTTTTATTGTGTAACGTCCTTTTTGCCCTTATTAGATATACAAATTGTTAACCTCTTTCATTTTCTTTATTTATTTTTATTACATGCCAATTAACTTAAAAAATGTGATTTATTTTCTCATTACAATAAAATGCACAATATCAATCAATTAAAAATTGTGATTATTTTTTTTCATTATAATACAAATTAATAATATAAAAATTGTTATTTTTTTAATTTATTATTAATTCATTACAATTAATATTAATTAATAATATAAAAATTGTTAACTTTTTTTAATTTAATAATTCAACACAAATACCAAACCCTACCGCCGGCAGCCCTAGCCACCGCCAGCTGCGCCCTTCTTTTCCTCCTCCTCATCCTACACTCCAGTAGCCTTCTGCAAAACCGGAGTGAACACTGAGAGAGTTAGGGTTGATCGCGAAGAGAGAGACAAAGAGACAACTACGGTTGATGGCGATCGCAACGCTGGAGAGGAGGAGAATAAGGGTTTCATCATCACGCCGTCGATCGTTGCTAGCGATGGTTTTAGATTGCGGTGGGTTTCATAGCACAGCCAGAGAACAACGTCGGAGAGAGAGAGAGAGATCTGGTTCATAACACCAGAAATCGCCTCTCTCTCACACATCCGAAATTGCCTGCCTCGCTAGAAATCGCCACTCTCTTTCTCTCTTAGAAATGAACAGTGATTTTGTGGTTTATATAATGGCAATTTGGTAATACTTCAAATTAGTTACGGGCATTTAAGTAATTTCGACACCGCTCCGCATAATTTAGTTGCGGAAGCTGCTCCAAGCCGCTTTTGATTTTCGACTTTTTTATGTAAGAAAAAAATCTATAGAAGCTTAAGTTGTTGGCCTGAAGCTTAACCAAACACTTTGTAATAGCATTTTAGAAGCCAATTGATATAACTGTTAGATTATAGATTTAAGTTGCTGAGTAGTGTTTGTCTAATAAGCTGTAAAATAATTTTTTTATCATGTAACGTCCTTTTTGCCCTTATTAGATATAAAAATTGTTAACCTCTTTCATTTTCTTTATTTTTTTTATTACATGCCAATTAATTTAAAAATTATGATTTATTTTTTCATTACAATAAAATGCACAATATCAATCAATTAAAAATTGTGATTATTTTTTTTCATTATAATACAAATTAAAAATATAAAAATTGTTATTTTTTTAATTTATTATTAATTCATTACAGTTAATATGAATTAATAATATAAAAATTGTTAAGTTTTTTAAATTTATTATTAATTCATTACAAATACAAATTGATTATTTTTAATTTTTAATTTAGTAATTCATTAATTAATAATATCAGTTAATATCAATTAAAAATTATTACAAATACCACCGGCAGCCCTAGCTACTGCCGACCACCGCCTTCTTCTTCTTCTCCTCCTCCTCTTCATCCCACCGTCAGTAGCCCTCTGCAAAACCAGAGTAAACACGGAGAGAGCTATGGTTGATCGTGAAGAGAGAGAGAGAGAGAGAGAGAGAGACAGCTAGGGTTGATCACGATCGTGATCGCGATGCCGGAAAGGAGAAGAAGGGGTAGGGCCACACTGTCCATCTTCACACTAGTTTTCGCATCGCGATGGGTTTCACGACACAGCCAGAGAACAACGCCGGAGAGAGGGAAAGGAGAAGAGGAGAGAGAGAGAGATCTGGTTCATAACGCCGGAAATGGCCTCTTTCTCACGCCGAAAATCACCACTCTGTCTCTTTCTCAGAGAATGAACAGTGATCTTAGTGGTTTATATTGTGGCAATTTGGTAATAGCTCAAATTAGTGAAGGGCATTTAAGTAATTTCAGATCTCCCTTGGCGTAATCCACTTGCGGAAGCGGCTCCCAGGCACTTCTGGTTTTGGAATTTTTTTATATAGGAAAAAAAATCTATAGAAGCTCAAGCAGTTGGCCTAAACATAACCAAACACTCTGTATTAGCTTTCTAGAAGCCAAAAGCTATAATCTGTTCAAATTAAGTTAGACCAAACACTCCTTTTGTCCCTAAATTTCTCTATTCTCACGTTGAAATTCATTTCTTATTTATTGGATCATAACTCGAGATCTAACACAATTCATTTGGCAATTGCTTTTTTATTTTTATTTTTATTTTGTTAACTTTTTTCGTTGGTGATTTTTTCTTATACCTTTTTATTTTTAGATCCTATTAGACTAGAAGATCATAAAAATTTTAGAAAATTGAAAGACAAATTTCACTAAGGGCATTTTTTATTTTATTTTATTTAACCATTTTGGACTTTTGATTTTTTAATTTTTTTTTTAAACTTTGTAGATCATTTTAGATTAAAATAACCTAATAGGTTAAAAAAAAAAATTGATACAATTTTTTAAAAAATACACTAATGACAAAAAAAATGTTTTGAAAATAAGTGTGATTTTCTTAACTATTGTCAAACAAAGCTTAAAAGTGCTTTAAGATAAGAGGGTCCTTGGCATTCATGAATTTCATATTTTTTTTTAAGAGTCTTGCTAATTAAATAAATAAAATACAAAATCAATTTAAAAAATCCCAAGACACTTATCGTCACTGGTTAGACTTTACGTTTCTCTTAAGGAAAAATTACTTGTTATTCTTCAAAAATAATTATTAATTCATGAAAAAATTTATAATATTAATAATTAAAATTTATATACTTTATCATTAATTTGGATTTTTTCTTACAATATAACACTGAACAGTTGTTTCCCTTTTTCTTAATTAATGGGAGATGAGATTGTAAGAATCTGTCTACCGAAAGATGTGATTTTTGTTCCTCCATTGACTAATCTGTCACCGACAACATCAATAGGGACAAACATCTTCACAAATTTTCAATGTCCTTCTAAAAAATCATATGCGATTTATTGGGAAAGAAACTCATGTTTGTCACCATAATCTACTTTGGTTATGTTTAGTATGTGGTTTTGAGGTTATTTTTGTCACAAAATAATAAAATAGATTAAAAAGTTAATAAGATAAAATGTTACATTTAAATTATAATCATTTTGTTTTTTCTCTCACAAAAGTCAAAAAAGTTAAAAAGTCCATCTCAAACGAGACTTTTTAATCCTAAGCTAAAATAGTAAAAAAACTAAAAAATCAACCCACATTCCAAATGAAGGCTTTGAAAAACAATCCACTTTTGTTTTCCCAGATATGAATAATGTTTGAGAGCTCTAATTTGAAAGATCTAATGCAACTCTAATAATGTGGAGAATGCCCATGTGAAAGTGGTATCCACGCTCATTTCTCTATCTCTCTCTACTCACTTTCTCTTCCACTTCACTAAACTCTATTTAGAACTATAGTATTAGAGTTATGTATTATTACTCTTCTGATATATATGTTTTCTTTTGAGAGAATGTGGTATTTTTAAAAATTAATTACTAATTAATAAAAAAATTATGATTTTATACTTTAATTTGTGTAATTTTTTTTGTTAATTTAAAAATATTTTTATACATCTACTCTGAATTGATGTTTGCCCTTTTCTTTTTCTGCTTATATGATTTTTACATTTTGGCTTAAAAAAAAATTTATAAATAGTCTCAAAAAGAAATACTAAGAATTTGTTTGATTTATATCTTAAGATATAATTTTTGAGAAAATTTTTTAAATTTTATTTGATTCAAATTTTTTGTAAAATTTTTTAAAAATCACTCTCTCTCTCTCCTACGTATCCATCATCACTTTTTTTTTTTTTCTCTCATCTCTCATTCTCAATCACTTTTTCTCTCATACACATCTATTCAACTACAACAAAATATCAAATCATCCAAAACTACCAAACTCTAAAACTATTTTCAAAATATATAACCAAACAAACGAAAAAAATTTCTAAACTCTCTCCAAAAGTTTTTTTGAAAATTTATTTCAAAACACAAACCAAACACACTCTAAAATTTTATTACTAAATTGTCAAAACTTATTTTTCGCACAAAAATGGAAACAACATGAAATGCTTGGTTTGGATTTGGGAGATGAGTTTTAGAAAAAAATTTCTAAAAAATTGTTTGGTTTGAGTTTTTCTCAAAAAATTTTCAAAATTACTTTCTCTCTCTTACACATCAATCAATCACTTCTTCTCTCTTCTCTCACCTTCTCAATCACTTTTTCTCTCACACACATCTACTCAAATTCTCCCAAAATATCAAATCATCCCAAACTTCCAAAAAAACAACTCTCTCAAAATATACAATCAAACAAACCAAAAAAAATTTATAAACTCTCTCTCTAAATTTTTTTTCAAAAACAACTTTCTCAAAAACAAACCAAACAAGCCCTTTAACTTTTTTCATTATTTTTATTTCCAAAAAATATCAAAACAAAAAAAATTAAAACACAACAAAACAACTTAAGATTTTGTCCTTAACCCTCTATTTGATATGAAGAAACTATTTCTACACTTGATGAATGAAATAGAGTATTTCGTTCTTTCTTACAATGAAGATAGCAACAACTCGTATATTCACCAGAGGACAGACAGACATTTCTGGCAAATCCAGTGACCGGTTGACTTTAATCTTTTTGTGCAATTAGCCAACAAACTTAATTTTTGCTATTTTTACTAGTCAAATATTTATTTTTGTGCAAAAGGTGTAAAACTAATCCAAAGGTGAAATCTAGAAATCGATCATGGGTTCGCCGATTGTAAGGTTTCGCTGGAGACTCCATGGTAGGTTGAAGAGCTTTGCAGTGATGAACTTGAAGACTTTATTCACATTTATGTTGTAAGTCGCGCTTGAAAAGAAGAGGGTCGCATTCATGGCCTTTGCATATGCTCTTGCCTGTTTTTAACAAAAACGATATCAAACATGTTAGATAGGCCAAGTAATTTTAACACATTTTTTCTATAAAATTCAATATTATGGGTTGGCTGAGTAAATTTAACCAAGACATTTTCAAAATATACTATCCTAAACCCTTCTTACTCATTAAATCATATTTTGAGATTTATACGGTTTAAAATTCTCACATTATTGAAGAATAAAAAAATAAAAAATAAAAAATTGGATAAAGAACCTTCCCAAAATTCTTCACTCTCTATTCTAAAACCCTCTTACTCATTAAATTATATTTTGAGATTTATAGGTTTAAAATTTTTACATTATTCAAGAATAAAAAAATAAAAAATAAAAAATTGGATAAAGAACCTTCCCAAAATGATTGTAGTCTTTGCCACTCAATTAGTGTGCTCCAATAATTCTTTGCCTAAGAGTCAAAGATGTTGGTATTATTTTCAGAAGAATTGACTTGGATGTCTCTAATGTCCTTTCAGTCCTTTTCCATGTCGGATACTCCAAGAAAGAAAGACTGATGAAATTTTATTGAACCTTGCCTAACTAATGACTCATTTTAGTATATTGATTACACTGCTAATCTTAAAAACATCAACAATCATATCTTGCTCTTTTTTTCTTCCCTCGAGTTTTCTGATTCACGAACCTCTGTTTTTATACTTTTCTTGGAGTGATTGTCAAGAGTAACTTTTTTTTATGCAGCCACATGATCAGGAATATGAAGACTTTCTGGAAAAACTCTTATGCAATGTTGCTCATGTAGAGAGAAAAGAAAAGAAAAGAAAAGAAAATTTATTACCTGACTTGCGATTGCCCATTGCAAATCTATTGGTAGCTGTACAAACTCATCAAACTTGGTCCCTATTAGTACTGGAACTGCAGTCTACAACAATCAAAGCAAATTTTTTTTTTTAATTATCAAAATTGGTTGGAATTGCAAAACCCTAACTAGGACATGAAATAGAGAGAGAAAATAAACAAGAATTGTAAAAATCACACCCGCACACAAGGAGAAAATTACCAATGACAAATCTGGAAATATTAAAATACCCTTATTCTAAAACGCGGAGTAAAATGCGAAAAAAGAAAGAAAATTTAGCAAATTTAAGGACTTAAAAATTTACCTTATTCCACTTCCTTGCTTTTTGATACCATCCGATAACACTGGAATCTCAGAAAAAGTCGTAATATCATGAGATTATGTAATTAAAAATTTCTTAACATCATAGATAAAAATAAACTTAAATTAAAGGACTTACCTATTTAAAGTGCATCGACTTGTTAGATCAAACATGAATAATATTGCTACCGAGTCTTTACATGCAATTGGAACATGATTCTGACAAGTCTCATCTCCTACACCATCAAAATTATAATTGATAACTAGATCTGTGTGTATATTTGTGAATATATAGATCAATGATTTAAATAGCTATATCGAGAGACAAATCAGTATCAATCATGATGTGGACGTATCGGGAGCTTCAAGCAGGAATTGAGCCACCCCGTTTTGTCAATTTGTGAAAAAAATGGCCATAAATGAGCCGTGAATCGATTATGAACAGGCAAGTATGGTGAATTGACCGATACCCATATAATTTTTATTTTCACGGGCATTCTGGGCTGTATTAGTAAAGAGGCTAAAAAATCAATACATAGAAACCATAGTATATATATCCACACAGATCATATATGATCTATTTGATTGCAATTACTAAATCAATAAAAAGGAGATCATGATCAATGGTACCTCCAACCTCCCAAATACTATAAGCAATGCGTGCCCCTCTAACACACAGCGTTTTATCCATCCGATTGAGTCCTGTCATCTGAAATCCTTGCTCTTCTCTTTCTCTCCCTACATACTTGGTCTGCATTCAACACCAAAATTAAACTCAGACAAAGACCAACAAAAATGCCATGTTTGGCTGCCAAGAAAATATTTCCAAAAAAAAAAAAAAAACACTAACCAGAAAACTTGTTTTCCCAATCCGGCAATCACCCAACAAACAAATCTTCAAAGCAACCAAATCCCCAGAGTCTCTCCCCTGATCAAAGCACCTAGACCCCGTATCCCCGGACCCAAAACCGCTCTCTACCGCAACCAGAGAAGGGGATGACATGGCGATGCGTGGCAGCTGTCTATACAGAGCGGACTTTCCTAGCGTGCAAGTGAGAATTCGGTTCCAGAGAAATCGAAGACATCGACGGAGGATAAAGACTCGGCGAAGGAATCTTCTTCGACCGAGACGGAACATTCTCCGGCGAGGCTTAGAAGTCATGTGACATGTGGAATGATGGCCTGAGAAAAACAACAGCTTAGAGTGCTGTTTGGGTTATTTTTAGAAATTCACTATAAAAAAATTTAACGACCCTTTGCTAATGAGATGGTGACCGTGTTATATTGACACAGTTGACCTGTTTGGTTTGTGGATAATACATATGAATTCAAAATTGCCGGCTTATTTGGTTTTACGTAGCTTTCTTCTGATTTTGATGATGGGTTTGTTTTGTTTGGAGTGTTTACATGTGGCCTGTTTCTCTCTCCTCTTTTGATATTGCTTATGGTTGGAGTAATTTAATAGAGGGGATTTATACATAAATTCTGAATTTTTATTTTATAAAATTTTAATTAAGATTTTTTTGAATTTTCAAGTTCTATTAAATTTTTAATAGGTAAAATTGTCCTTCATCATTTATGATTATCTATAAAAAAATATAATGATTCGACATTTATTTTGATTTTCAAAACTATAAAATATTAACTTTCAAATTGAAAAAACTAAAAAAAAAATTTATGTGCAATTTTTTTTTTAATTTCTTAAAAACAAAAATTGAAAAAAATAAATTATTTTTTTGTGCAAAACTGAAAATTTTGTGTCTATAAAGGAGCATGATGATGGAACATTGATGTGCAAAACTGAAAAAAAAAAATTAAAAATAAAAAAATTGATAATATTCTCAGTTTTAAAGTTGAAAAAAAACTGTTAATGTTCTCGGTTTGATTGAATAGTTGAATCAAATAAATAAATAGAAGGACAAAAACATTTAATCTGATACTTTGTTTTTTTTTTATCAGTTAATAAAACAATTATCTGGAACATTATTATGTAAAATTGATAATATTCTTAGTTTTAAAAATTGAGAAAAACTAATAATATTCTCAATTTTACTAAATTAGGCTTATTGATTCAATTTTTTTTAAATATAATCTGAATTACCATAACATTTGTAGACATGACTTTTAGATAACTAACCTTTTAATGGATTTATATAAACAAATTTTGATAAAAACAATTGTAACACGTCAAATGATACAGCCATGGATTCACTTTCACTTTGCTCTTGTTATAACATACTTATAATTATTTAATCATGTGATAATTTAAAAATGTAAAAAACCTCACTGCATGATTCAAATATTATAAGTATTTTAAAGATATAGAAAAAGAAATATTTTAGTGAGAAGATCATTTGCCAAATATCATAATTTTTGCAGATTTATCAATTTTATTTAAAGAAATATTAGAGTGCCGAAAAAGTTTAAGAAATTAAATTGTGTAGATGAAATTCACTGTAAGTGTAATTCATATCGTATTAAATTTCATTTTACATTATACACTTTATATTTTATTTTATAATAATTTTTTGTTTTATTTAACTTTTTATTTATTTATTTATGGTGTATAAATAATTTGTACGTCAATGAGAAAACCAATTCTAATTTGCATTTTAAGCCTCCGTTTGGCAAGTTAGTTTTCAGGCTTTTTTGGCTATTTTAGTCACAAAAAACAAAATAAGCTATTTTAGCCATAACAAACAAAACATCACATCCAACCCATAATCATTATATTCTTCTCTCACAAAAAAAGTCAAAAAAGTCAAAAAACCAAAAAGCCCTTCCCAAACCAAGTTTTTTAGTCCAGGCTAAAATAGCCAAAAAAGCTAAAAAGCCAACCCACTTCCCAAACCAAGCCTAAATGTGAGTCTTTATCTCGATCCAAAAAATAAAAATAAAAATGTGAGTCTTTAATCATCCAAGTTCTTATTATTATTTTTTTGGGGTTTGTAACGTCGGCTCCTCTTTCATCTTTTGGCATGCTGTCGTGGTTGGTGCCGGCATTTGTTTAAACTAGAAAAATAATAATAATTTATTAAAAGGCTATATTTGATTCGCAAATTAAGGCATAATAAGAATATTCATTTCGGGATAAAATTATGAACCATTTACACATAAGTTTTAATTTATAAATTTCTATTTCATTAAATTTTAATGAAGATTTTTAAATCTTTAAGTTTTATTAAATTTTTAATTGTCAAAATTGTTCTTCAAATAATGATCGTTCATCATTTATGATTATTATAAAGGAATATGATGATTTGATATTTATTTTAATTTTTAAAACTTTAAAATATCAACTTTCGAATTGAAAAAAAAAATGGTATGTGCATTTTTTTTTTTGAAAAAATTGAATTATTTTTTGTTCAAAACTGATAATTTTGTATTTATAAGGAACATAATGATGGAACATTGATATGCAAAACTTAAAAAAAAAATAAATTAAAAATTAAAAATAAAAAAAACTGATAATGTTCTCAGTTTTAAAATTAAAAAAAAACTAATAATATTCTTAATTTTATTAGATAGTTGAATCAAATCAATAAGTAGAAACGCAAAGACGTTTAATCTCATACTTTGTTTTTTTTCCCTCAATTAGTGAAACAATTATTTAGAATATTATTATGCAAAATTAATAATGTTCTTAGTTTTAAAAATTAGAAAAAATTGATAATATTCTCAATTTTATTAAATAGGACTTATTGGTTTAAAAAATCTTAAATAGAACTTGAGTTAGTATAATATTTATAATTAAGACTTTTAAATAATTAATTCTAAAATTATTTTATGTTTGATTTACATTTTATATCACAGAATAACTTATCTGATTTTAAGGGCCCTTCAATGCCATATATGCCGCATAATTTTGGGAAGACGAGTTGTTGTGCCCAAAGACGTAGCGACTTCTTGTTTAATAATATTCTTAATTTTATTAAATAAGACTTATTAGTTTAAAAAATCTTAAATAGGACTTGAGTTAGTATAATATTTATAAATAAGACTTTTAAATAATTAATTCTAAAATTATTTTATGTTTGATTTACATTTTATATCACAGAATAGCTTATCTGATTTTAAGGGCCCTTCCTGCCGTATATGCCGCATAATTTTGGAAAGACGAGTTGTTGTGCCCAAAGACGTAGCGACTTCTTGTGTGGTCCGATGGGGGCTTATTTTAGGTTCATTTCGATAATCTGAACAGTGGATATTGTAGGATTTGTTAAATAAATTATTCATAAAAAAAAATAATTTTGAACCATTTAGACATCTATTAACCCATTATAAGACTACATTTTTTATCCCTCCAAAAAAAGATTACATTTGTTTTTAACAAATAAATAATTAGTACGTGCTAACAAATAAATATCTATCCATCCATCTATACTATTATATATGTACGTGCTAACTTGATGTCTAAGAGTGTGGTGATTTCTTCTTTTACCATGTGACAAATTTTTATGTCCTATAAATAAAAAAATATTATTCAAAGGTGTAAACAAAATTTGAACACAAGATCTTGGGTTTTATTAAGAACACTTTTACCTTTTAAACAACATACATATTATGATATTAGTTTATTTTTTGTTTTTTATTTATTTTTATGCTTACTTATCTGAATTGTACATGCATCGTGTGTGCCACCTGCTAATTTGTCTAAAAAATAATTAAGACCTGGTTATGAGATTACAACTATTTAATTATTAGATTTTTTTCATGAATGATATCGTTGATGAATCGTAAAATATGAACAGTTTGAATTATTAAAACAGGCAAAAAAATACACAAGTACTCACACCAGGGGAGAAGGAACAACTTATTTAGAGTAAGGATTTTGTCACAAAATGATTGACATACCCTCATTAGGATAAATCATCCCGAGAGAAGTTACCTAATTAGGCGATCAGATTTTTTTGTTTTTGTTTTTGTGTATTTTTTTTGTGTTGGTATGTTGGTAAGAACATCAATTGTAGTTTAATTTATGTGGGGAACCGGGCATTCAAACCTCCAACCAACTAGTTGGAAGAGAGACCCAAATGTGTCATAGTTGCAGAGGTGAAGTGAAAATGATCCTACTATTAACAAACAGTTGTTGATGATGATTAATGTCATTTATATTATGGATGGCAAATAGATCATTTCACAGAGGGTAGAAGAACCTATAGATTAAAACCACCCAACTACTTGTTTAATTTAAGTGAATAATTAAAAGAACTTGATCACTCTGGATATTGAAAAGCTTGCAATGTTAATAATAATATAAAATGAAAAAAAAAAAGTTGGTACTCTACCAAATTGATTGCATAGAAATGTGGCTTAACCACATCATCAAGACATGTGATTACCATTTGTCTTAAATTACTGTGTTTTTAATTAGTATAATATTAAATTACCTTTCAAATTGCATGATTTTCTTTGTTAAAATTAACAAATCGTATCCACACCAGCCACGTGTTTTATGGGAAGATGCGATTCCAAAGAATTTTTTAATCAAGGTATTAAAATAATAATTAGAATTGTGTGGTACTAAGTAGATATTCATGTGGGTCCAATTGTGAAATTAAATTCCTATCTTATTGTAATTAGGTAAATCAATAATCGTAATTTATTCAATTCATCATATTTATCATAAAAAAATGACAATAATTGTGTTTTTAAAAATATATCATTCATTTTTTTAGTGATAAATGCGATGAATTGAATTTTTTACGATTATCAAATCGATCTAATTTTTTGTGTGAATGAAATACACAAAATATCAAACAAAATTAATAATTTGGATAATCAAAACTAGTCCCGTGGTGAACCCCATGGGCCCGAACAACGCCCTCTGATCCAGATTAAGGACCGGAGGGGATCTATTCATATATAATGAACTGGATTACCTAAAAAAAAAAAAATCCAAATTTGATCACTTATTAAAAATTCATCTAAAAAAAAGGGGAACTGATTACCTATAAAAAAGCACAGCTGCAAATATGATCATGTATGGAGAAACCCAAATCAACTTGTTGAATTTTATGGATGACAAGTATATAAGTCTGTATGTTGTAATTTACTCTAACCGAAAACTCATAGAATTAATTTCTATGGGGGATAAATATTCGATAACGCCCATACTCCTCGCGTCCAAGTTTCGCTTCTATCCGATTAACCTGCGAACACAACGGCGGTGAGCTACCCGGAGGTGTGTTGCCGAAAAACCCCTTTGACGGTCAAGTTAGCATCCATTCAGAGATAGAGAGAGAGAGAGGAAGGGAGTTTCTCTCACTAGATGAAGTTCCATCCCCAGCATGGGAGGCGTAATCATGTTTACATACCTTTTGCGCGTGCCTCTGCGTCCATTCGCCTTTTGATGCGTGGAC